GGGTGAGAGAAGGGAGCTAAAATGGGGGGGGGTGAGAGAAGGGAGCTAAAATGGGGGGGAAGGGAGCTAAATGGAGGGGTGAGAGAGGGGAGCTAAAGGGGGGTCACAGGGACGTACCTCATCCTCGGACTCATTGTGTGGGACGGAGAAGCAGTTGGTGATCTCCACAGAATGTTTTTCTATCGTTCCTGCAACCGAAATAGAGAACCAACATCACCATATGTGACAAGTGTGGCCCCACAAAAGGTATAACACAGGGGCCCAACATATGATCATTGTGGCCCTTTACAAGTATAACACAGGAGCCCTTCATCTGATTAGGACAAAAATGATCAGTGTGGCCCCTCACATGTATAACACAGGGGCCCATATGTGATCAAGACACAGATGATCAGTGTGCCCTCCCACACAACCCAGTGGCCCTACATATGATCAGTGTGCCCACCCACACAACCCAGTGGCCCTACATATGATCAGTGTGCCCACCCACACAACCCAGTGGCCCTACATATGATCAGTGTGCCCACCCACACAACCCAGTGGCCCTACATATGATCAGTGTGCCCACCCACACAACCCAGTGGCCCTACATATGATCAGTGTGCCCACCCACACAACCCAGTGGCCCTACATATGATCAGTGTGCCCACCCACACAACCCAGTGGCCCTACATATGATCAGTGTGCCCACCCACACAACCCAGTGGCCCTACATATGATCAGTGTGCCCACCCACACAACCCAGTGGCCCTACATATGATCAGTGTGCCCACCCACACAACCCAGTGGCCCTACATATGATCAGTGTGCCCACCCACACAACCCAGTGGCCCTACATATGATCAGTGTGCCCACCCACACAACCCAGTGGCCCTACATATGATCAGTGTGCCCACCCACACAACCCAGTGGCCCTACATATGATCAGTGTGCCCACCCACACAACCCAGTGGCCCTACATATGATCAGTGTGACCCTTCACTATACAGGAGCCCTACATATGATCAGTGTGCCCCCCACAACCCAGGGGCCCTACATATGATCAGTGTGACCCTCCACTATACAGGAGCCCTACATATGACCAGTGTGCCCCCCACAACCCAGGTGCCCTACATATGATCAGTGTGCCCCCCACAACCCAGTGGCCCTACATATGATCAGTGTGACCCTTCACTATACAGGAGCCCTACATATGATCAGTGTGCCCCCCACAACCCAGGGGCCCTACATATGATCAGTGTGCCCCCCACAACCCAGGGGCCCTACATATGATCAGTGTGACCCTCCACAATACAGGAGCCCTACATATGATAAGTGTGACCCTCCACAACTCAGTGGCCCTACATATGATCAGTGTGGCCCTCCACAACCCAGGGGCCCAGCATGTGACCACTGTGGCCCCTCCCGGACACAACGCACACAGATGATGCTCAGTCAGCACATGTTCCTCCAGTGATAACACAATGAGCGCCCATCCCCCTCACCCAGCAGTGTGCCGATCACCCGGGCCGCCCCCTCATTCCTCCGCTCGTAGCTGTCCACAATGGAGGCCAGAACCACCGGATGTATCTTCACCGCCGACCCGTTCAGAGCAACCGGTGTCCCCGCTAAGATCCCCGGAGCCGCCATCACCTTCCTGTTGGAGAGAAAGAGGAGGGGCGGGGCCGGGCCACGGCACCCACTGCGACGCCGGGATTGGACGGTGGGTGGAGTCTGCGCGCGGCCGTTCTGTGTCACCCTCCGCTCTGATTGGCTGGAGGGGGCACAGCGATTGGTTTTATCCAATACGTTCTATATAGTGATACAATGTATCCGGCCTGGTCACTGCCGGGGGGGACTACAAGTGCCAGCGTGACCGTATATGACATAATACAGACTCTGGAGTCTCAGTATAGAGCTGTGTGATGAATCCTGATAAGGAAGCTAGTTTTCTCAGCCTACCTGTAGACGGCTCCATAGCTCAGGGGTTAGAGCACTGGTCTTGTAAACCAGGGGTCGCGAGTTCAAATCTCGCTGGGGCCTTCACTGTTTTTGTCTTACTTTAATGGGGTAATTAGAGTGTGAGCTCTTCAGAACAGAGACAGCTGCCTGCCTGTCTGATATTTCCTGGAAAGTGCTGCAAGTTCTTGCTTCCTCCTCGGTCCAACGCCGTCCCCGTCTTCTTCCTCGGTCCAACGCTGTCCCCGTCTTCTTGCTCGGTCCAACGCCGTCCCCGTCTTCTTGCTCGGTCCAACGCCGTCCCCGTCTTCTTCCTCGGTCCAACGCTGTCCCCGTCTTCTTGCTCGGTCCAACGCCGTCCCCGTCTTCTTGCTCGGTCCAACGCAGTCCCCGTCTTCATGCTCGGCCCAACACCATCCCCTGCTTTCTCCTCGGCCCAACACCATCCCCTGCTTTCTCCTCGGCCCAACGCCGTCCCCATCTTCCTCCTCGGTCTAACGCCATCCCCGTCTTCCTCCTCGGTCCAACGCCGTCCCCGTCTTCCTCCTCGGTCCAACGCCATCCCCGTCTTCCTCCTCGGTCCAACACCATCCACGTCTTCCTCCTCGGTCCAACGCCATCCCCGTCGTCCTCCTTGGTCCAACGCCATCCCCGTCTTCCTCCTCGGTCCAACACCATCCACGTCTTCCTCCTCGGTCCAACGCCATCCCCGTCGTCCTCCTTGGTCCAACGCCATCCCCGTCTTCCTCCTTGGTCCAGCACCGTCTCCCGCTTCCTCCTCGGTCTAATGCCCTCCCTGTCTTCCTCCTCTGTCCAGCGCCGTCCCAGGCTTCCATTTCCAGTGAGTTCAGCCCGTCATTCACACACACACACACACACACACACCACCAGGGGGCGCCATCATCACACCGGCTGGGCTCACAATACTCTAGGACTGAGCTCCACTCACATGCCATCGGGTGAGTACCGCTCAGTCCTAGAAGAAGACCCGCCCCCTGCTGGCACCAGTGAAAGAAGAGGAATCACCGAGCCGGGTAAATGAATGCAGTACAAAAAGTACAAAAAAAATAAAAATGGGGGAACTGAGGGGGAATTCTTTTTTCTTCGAAGCGCCTTATTTGCTGCCGCCCGCCCTCCAAGAGTTCCCCTCGGATGGTGTCCTCGATCCAATCATAGAATAGGACGCCTATCAGTCCCAGTTCACACATGGGCATTGCGTGAATGCTCGCCAAAAGTGCGTCATGCGCGCGTACTGCTTCAAAAACATGCGACACGCTTGCAGTGTCATTACTTGTTACTGTCATTACTTGGGCCCATCGTGGTGACGCGCGTTCCCGCGCATTCGCAGGCATGTTTCCCATGCACGCCAAACGCAAGCAGGTAGTAAGTCAAGCGTGAACGGGACCATTCGCCATGAGCGTCGTCATGCGACATTGCGTGAATGCTTGCCAAAAGTGCGTCATGCGCGCGTACTGCTTCAAAAACATGCGACACGCTTGCAGTGTCATTACTTGTTACTGTCATTACTTGGGCCCATCGTGGTGACGCGCGTTCCCGCGCATTCGCAGGCATGTTTCCCATGCACGCCAAACGCAAGCAGGTAGTAAGTCAAGCGTGAACGGGACCATTCACCTTGAGCATCGTCGTGCTTCGGGAATCGTGCGGCGAAACGCTCATGTGCGAATGGGGCTTCAAGGCGACCGCACGCATATCAATATGATCGTTCAATTGATCATCCGATGCGAGTAAAGCGATCGAATAGGAATCGTGAACCGCTTTCGATGGCGGCGAGTCGATCGGCCGCGGCGGATCATTTGTGATCGTGTCAGGTGAACAATCCGAACTCAGATCGATTAAATGACCGTTTTTAATTCATAGTTTCTGATTTGCATCCATCGGTAATCAATCGATCGTAGATCAATCACAAATCAATAGACGTATGGTCACCTTTACACATGCCCTTCCCCAGTGAGTGCAGTGTGCATTGAGTTCCCATTCATACCACGGTCAGCCAATCAGCAGCCTTATAATGAAGCTGGCTGCCCTGGCCCCACCTCCCCTGGTGACCGTTGCCTGGTAACAGTAACATACACAGAAAGAAGAGAAGGGAGCAACATGGCCACACACTACAGTGCAAACCAGGTACACGGGGCCCTGTATATAGTATATACCGCATACTGCTGTCCGTGCTGTGTATATGTGTGCGGGGGAGGGGGGAGGGATCTATATAGAAACGCAGATGATGAATGATCACTGCGAGTGGATTTGGGCGCACGACCATCGGGGGAGGGAAACGATCGCCTTCAGGCTTTCCAGCTTTATGATTGGCTGCCGGTCTCTGATTGTTTCTCGTTCGCAGTATCAGAGCGCGTTCAACTCCGCCAACCTGCAGAACTGGACCGTCCCGAAACCCTACAAAGAGGTAAAACCCGCTGCGGGTCCTTTCCACTTCACACTTTACTATAGCTATACTGAGAACCGGGATTCGGTGCACACTAGTTGAAACTTTAAGTGAGGCTGACAGCGAACATTGTGTGTCTGTTTCAGCGGCCCTCCACCCACGACGGCTTCACTCAGTTTGTCGCCAATGACAGAGGTCACCTGCTTCCGGGAGTGCCCAGGACCAAGGTAACCTTCCAGGACCCGTCACTTACAGGAATCTGGGGGGATGGTGCAATGGACCTGACCATCACACCTACTATATTGCCAAAAGTATTGGGATGCCGGCCTTTACACACACATGAACTTTAATGGCATCCAACAATATAGTGTATGTGGAGACCTGACCACTACACTAACTATATTGGCAAAGACTATATGAACACCTGACCATCACTCCTACCTACATGGCCAAAGGTATGTTGACACCTGACCATTACACCTACTATACGGCCAAAAGTATCTTGACACCTGGAAAGCCCTGAACACCTTTGGAGTGATTTGGAACCCTGATTGTGAGACGGGTCTTCTCATCCAATATGGGTACCTGACCTCACATATGGGGCAAATTCCCACAGACACACTTCAAAAGCTTATGGAAACCCTTCCTAGAAGAGTAGAGGATATTCTAGTCACAATGGGAGGCCAACTACATATGAATGGTCATGGGTGGAGCAGCAACTCCATATTAATGGCCATGGGAGGAGGATTGACGCAGTATTGATGGCCAGGGAGGGAGGAGCAACTCCATATTAATGGTCATGGGGGAGGAGCAACTCCATATTAATGGTCATAGGGGGAGCAGCAACTCCATATTAATGGTCATAGGGGGAGCAGCAACTCCATATTAATGGTCATGGGGGAGGAGCAACTCCATATTAATGGTCATAGGGAAGCAGCAACTCCATATTAATGGTCATAGGGGAGGAGCAAGTACATATTAATGGTCATAGGGGGAGCAGCACTCCATATTAATGGTCATGGGGGAGGAGCAACTCCATATTAATGGTCATGAGGGAGGAGCAACTTCATATTAATGGTCATAGGGGGAGCAGCATCTCCATATTTATGGTCATGGGGGAGGAGCAACTTCATATTAATGGTCATGGGGGGAGCAGCAACTCCATATTAATGGTCATAGGGGGAGCAGCAACTCCATATTAATGGTCATAGGGGGAGGACTAACGCCCTATTGATGGCCAGGGAGGGAGGAGCAACTCCATATTAATGGTCATAGGGGAGGAGCAACTTGATATTAATGGTCATAGGGGGAGGAGCAACTTGATATTAATGGTCATAGGGGAGGAGCAAGTACATATTAATGGTCATGGGGGAGGAGCAAGTACATATTAATGGTCATAGTTTTGAAATTGGATGTCCAACAAATTTTCAAGTGTTACCTTCTTTATTGAAAACTAAAATGAAAACAAAGATTTGGGGAGTTGGATTTTACCTGCTATGGATGAAACACAAGGCCTGTCCTTGGTGGCCTCCTTCATATACAGGTGAAACTCGAATAATTAGAATATCGTGCAAAGTTCATTTATTTCACTAATGCAACTTATGCGGTGAAACTAATATATGAGAGAGACTCATTACATGCAAAGCAAGATAGTTCAAGCCGTGATTTGTCATCACTGTGATGATTATGGCTTACAGCTCATGAAAACCCCAAGAACCCCAAATCCACAACCTCAAAAAAGTAGATTATTACATGCAATCAATAAAACAAGGATTGTACATAGAACAATATCGGACCTCTGACAAGTACAAGCATGCAGATGTACTCAGTACTTGGTTTGGGCCCCTTTTGCAGCACTTACTGCAATTACTTTTGCACGATATTCTAATTATTCGAGTTTCACCTGTACTACCTTCTTGGCTGTCACACTGACCCACTAACTTCAGTACTTTCTGAGTCTCCGGCCAGGAACAAGTATGGAGATCTGGAAAGTCAGGGAAAGATCAAAAGTCTTCCTCTAGGGCAGTTATTCAATGCATTGAAGCAAGAGGATCAGCGTACCAGCCGGGCAGATAGCAAAAGAAGAGGTCGGCGTTGGCAACCTTCATTGGTCATTAGATGGGGAATTCCGGCTTCACTGGGTGTCTTCTTCTTCAATGTTGTATTCTGAACTCTTTCTTGATTTCAGGCCAACCCATGGGGAACATTCATGGGTACGTGGGACATGCCCCTGAAGATCCCTCCTGCTAAGCTGAGTCTAACGGCCCGCTCAGCAGACGCCTCAAAACGCCTGACCCAGTGGATTGAGAAATCGGACCCGCTCATCAGCGCCTGCAATGGGCTGAGGCTCACCGTCACCGGCAAGGTCTGTCCCATTCCCTTTCTTTCCCTTTCACAATTCCTATTCTATCTGATAGTTTTGGAGAGAGAGTTAAGAAGATCCTATGACAGACATGACACTTCTTGTCCTGGCGACACTGGCCATCAGGACAAGACTTGAGGTCCTCCAGAACTGGCAATCAATACTCAACAGAGGTTGCCATCCTCAAGTAGAAGTTTTCTGGAGGTCCATTTCGATGTAACTAGAAGAACATCTCAAGGTTTTGGTTTATCATTAACCTTCAAGGTTAATGATAAAGTGCCTAGGTCACTCCTCCCTTTGCAGGAGGAGACTCCATGGAGGGTGGGGTGGAAATGGTTGAGTCCTCAAGAGATATAAGAAGGTAGGAGGACAACGCAATCCAGCAATGTCCAGCCACAATTGAAATACCATTCAGATTGAGCCTTGAGGCTCCTGTAGAAGAGCTTTGTCTTTTGGTGATCGAAAAGCACTTTAAAGTGGACCTGTCATTAAGATCTACCATCAGCAATTGCTGAAATATCAGTTTTTGGGTGGAATGACCCTTTGGTTACCTTTTTACGCATCTGACATGTTGGTTTCCAATAGGCTCCCATGGAGAAAGAAGGGTCACAGAACCCAAGTCCGACCCCCAGTCAGAAGAGCATGCGTGCCATAAGGAGCCCAGAGAAGCCGGGAGAGACGGCAGCGCGGAGATCTCTAACTGTCAGCCCAACTGGCTCTCACAAAGATGACCGCAGAAGCCCAAGGGTCCCAGAGGAGGGGATGATGGAGGAGGACGTGGAGCAAGAACATGGCGTCAGTAAACCGCCATCCCAATGTGGATCTCGGAAAGGATACTGACACCTCTTCATGGTAATGTAGACATGTGGCTGGAACTCAAGAGCAATAAACTGTCATTAGAGGAAAACATTCCAATGATTTAGGTTTATCATATAAATGTAGTGTACAGTCCAAATGTGGAAGTCCCAGCAGGTGTACCGTGCACCAAACAATAAATGGCAATTCTCCGATACTGAGTCCTACACTGTAGATCTATACTGATACAACCCGCACCCAACCCTGACCACCCTGCTCCTTAATGCTCAAGTGGGGGAAAAAATGGCACCAACCTAAATGCACTGTAGAAGCCAGCAGTGAGAGTTCCATCCAATATTGGTCATGTGACCACACACCAAAGAACTGGTCACGATTTCTTAAAAGGGCTTAGGGCAGAAACATTTTGGCAGTGCCGGTCAATTATTGGATGCTCCCCTCCCCCATAGATCACCTTACCAATGCTCTGTCATGCGTTAACGTTGAGTTCCCGGGTCTGTACATCTGCTGTTCCCCTTTATGAGGAGCTCCCACCATCCCTGTGCTGAGTTCCCGGGTCTGTACACCTGCTGTGCCCATTATGAGGGGCTCCCACCATCCCTGTGCTGAGTTCCCGGGTCTGTACCCCCTGCTGTGCCCATTATGAGGGGCTCCCACCATCCCTGTGCTGAGTTCCCGGGTCTGTACACCTGCTGTGCCCATTATGAGGGGCTCCCACCATCCCTGTGCTGAGTTCCCGGGTCTGTACACCTGCTGTGCCCATTATGAGGGGCTCCCACCATCCCTGTGCTGAGTTCCCGGGTCTGTACACCTGCTGTGCCCATTATGAGGGGCTCCCACCATCCCTGTGCTGAGTTCCCGGGTCTGTACACCTGCTGTGCCCATTATGAGGGACTCCCACCATCCCGTGGTGAGTTCCCGGGTCTGTTCCCCCTGCTGTGCCCATTATGAGGGGCTCCCACCATCCCTGAGCTGAGTTCCTGGGTCTGTACCCCCTGCTGTGCCCATTATGAGGGGTTCGCACCATTCCTGCTGAATTTAGATTAAGAACATAAGCTTGAGGAACGCATCCAGGAACTATAGTAGGTAGAACATTCTACTGCTGGTCTCACATCTCCCAAAGACTTCACCAAACTCAGCCAGGTATTTAAATATCAGTTTTGTTTATGGAGATCCTTCCAATGCTAAGTGCGGACAATACCTTCTGTCCATCCTTATGTTCCAGCAAATCATCATTTTCAAGCTTTTCTACCAATGTTGTTCCCCATTCAGACAAATAACACAGATTCTAAATCTCCCGAATCCACCAAACACTGAAATATTTCATTTGGGGGCTGAACCTTCAAATCAATCAATACAATTGGCTACAGGAACGTGTCCAGAGAGTATCGATAAATTGCTCCTTTTCAGATTGGTCTATGGTGGAGAGCGGGGGGGCCCCAGGGTTCTGTGCTGGGCCCCATACTATTCAACCTGTTTATTAATGATATTGGGGAGAGTGTTTAATACCCGTGTTTCTGTGTTTGCTGATGATACTAAAATCGGGAGGGTCATAGACACGGACTTAGACATTATAACATTACAGGAGGACCTGGATAAAATAGGGGAGGGGCAACTATATGGCAGGTGAGGTTTAATGTTGAGAAATGTAAAGTAATGCATTTTTGGGTTAAAAATAAGCAAGTGGATTACACATTAATGGGAACTCCCCTAGGGAAGTCAGAAATGGAAAAAGATTTGGGGGTCATTGTAGACCACAGATTGAATAATAGCTTGCAGTGCCAGGCTGCGGTAAACAAAGCAAGCAGAGTTCTGTATTGTATTATGAAGGGAATGTACTGTAGAGACAAATCTATAATGTTACCACTTTATAGATCGCTGGTTCGGCCTCATCTGGAGTATGCGGTCCAGTTTTGGTCACCAATCCACAGAAAGGACGTCCTGGAGCTGGAGAGAGTCCAGAGAAGGGCAACTAAACTAATTAAGGGGCTGGAGGACCAGAGCTATGAGACAAGACTACTACATGTGAACTTGTTCACGTTGGAAGTGAGGAGATTAAGGGGGTACATGATTTTGATGTACAAGATGTTCAACGGGGATGGCAACATCAGCAATAAACTTTTTTACGGTAAACTCCATAACAAGGACTAGAGGCCACCACCTGAAATTGGTGTAGAAAAGATTTAACCACAAAGGGGGTAGGGGCTTCTTCTCATCCCGCGATCGTACGATTATCGTAAGGTGTGTGGGAGCCGTGCGACCTCTGCTACTGTAAGATCGCACGACTTTTATCTTAGGAACATGTTCGTAAGATAAAAGCCGGACGGGCCGCACACTGCCCGTTCAGCATTGCGGTCATCCGAAGCCCGCCCCTCAGGGGGGCGCGGCTTGCGATCATCGCAAGTACGATCTGCCTGTCCAAGATAGGCAGATCGTACGTTTTACCTTACAACCAAGTCTTGCGATGGTTGTAAGGTGTGTGCCCAGCATAAAGGTAATCGCGGGATTTCCCGCGATTCTTGTACGAGAATCGTGCAGTGTATGGGCACCTTAAGAGTGGTTACATTTTGGAACTATCTTCCACAAGAAGTGGTAAGTGTTGAATCATTCAAAAATCATTTAGATACCTTTCTCAGAGACCATACACTGCACGATTCTCGTACAAGAATCGCGGGAAATCCCGCGATCGTTCGAGAATCGTGCAGTGTGAATGAAGACGTGCGACCGTTTCTACTGTACGGTCGCACGTCTTTTGTCTAAGGAGCACGCTAGAAAATCTTACGATTTTCGGCTGGTTTGAACGGTGCTCGGGAGACAAATGCCAAACGGGCCAGTGTGCGCACGCGCACACTGCCCGTTCAGCATTGTGGTCATCTAAAGCCGCCCCTCAGGGGGGCGGGCTTGCGATGATAGCAAGTACGATCTGCCTGTCCAAGATGGGCAGATCGTACGTTTTTTTAATTACTTTACAACCATCGCAAGACTAAGATCTTGCGATGTTTGTAAAGTGTATGGGCACCATAACATACAGGGGAACAGGTACTCTTAAAAACAAGACCACACAGCGACTCGTAAACACACATGCACAATCACACACGCAATAGGTTGGACTTGATGGACCGGTGTCTTTATTCAACCTGAAATACTCTAACTATGTAATAAAATGAGGGCTAAGCAGCTCACTACATGATTTGGGAGAAGGCCCTTCGTTGTCCGGAGTGTGAGGAGTCGGCCCTTCCTGTGGTCCATACGGTGGTGGGAGACCGGCAGACAAAAGTCACATTCTGAAAAGAGAAGACAATCATTTGTTTTACATTCGGACTCGAACAATACGACTTGTGTTTTAGAATATGGAGTCGAAGAGTCACGAGGAGCTGCGCCCTCAATGAACAAAGACAAAAAACGCGGCACTTAAGAATATATTTTTATTGAATTATACAGAAGGCGATCTCGCTTGTGTCATCGGATAACAATGCGATGGGAAATGGACAAATGCTAAACACACACACATATATACTATATATATATATTTGTGTATGTATGTATGTGTGTTTGGTCATTTTATTTTGGCAACGTTTTTATTTTCGGGGGTGAAAAGACATAAAATCCTACAAACAGTTTGGAAGGAACTCTCGCCGGAGATTCATCGAGGACGGCTTGATTGAACGATCTGTACACGGAGAGGTTTTGATGAGTGGAGGTAAAATTCCCTTCTCGATAAAAGATAAAATGAGGAACGGGTGATGGAGGAGTTTCCCTTCATGAAGGAAAATAGGCCTGGAGGACCAAAAGACGCAGAACGCGAGACCGCGTCGGTTTATGAACATCGACGAGCTGCTGTGGGGGGGACCTGCACTGATCCATTGACCCCCAGCTTACCGGACTTCCCTATATTATATTTAACCCTTGTCCTGGGGTGTTTAATGGGCTTCCTGATCATGTGATCACTGTGCCTGGGTGTCATAATGATCACGTGATCGGAAGCCAGACCTACCAGCTCGCGATCGTTATCAGCGTGTCCACATTGCTGGAGGAGTGGATATAAAGTCACTCGCACTCCAATAGAATTTCAAGTCAAAAACGGTTTATTGATTGCTATGACATCATATAGCTGGAGGAGCGCAAAGCAGCACATCTATGGGGTACCCCAATATAAGATCCACCTCCATGCTGCCACATATACACATGCAGCTGGTAAAAAGGGGTTAAAGCCACTCTATGTTGGCGATATCAATTATAGTTGCAATAGCAGCCTTGTGGTTTCCCTCATCCTTACACTTTGGTTAATATTGTAAATCCTGTAATCCTCTGGCCAGTCCAATGACATCACGGATCTGCCTTTCTGACTGTGAGCCGAGGCCAAAGGGGGCTACCCCCCCCCCCCCACCTGGGCTCGGGTAGTGATTAGAATGCTGCTGGCTGTCATTCTACCAGAACACTGGCGGCATCTAGTGGCAGAAAAGAGTTACTGCATGGGAAAGCTTTAGATTCAAGGCCCAATGGTGTCACTTGTGCCTGATGTGTGTCACTTGTGCCCAATGGTGACGGGAGCGGTACGATGTACTGTTTCAGCTCATCACATAGGTTACACTTTTTTTTTTTAAACTTTATTGAACATGTACACTTCTTTCAGGTCTCTGCACAACAGCACAGTGACCTAGAGTGCCACCTAGTGCGCTGCTGAAAAATGCAGCATGCTGCGCACATCACTCATCGGGGCACCTAGAAAGCAATTGTGCGGCGACGCACGCTGACATGGTTCAGAAATGCGCCAATCATCGCACGTAGCGCTGACAAATAATGCAACAAAAGCACTTTTTTTTATTTTTACCTTTCCAGGGCGTTTTGGCCTTTTAAACGGTGTTGCGCTTTAAAACACGCTCACGATTATTTGCTGATGGCCGAGTGACAACCCCGATTCTGGATTCTGTCAGACGGAATATTTATCCGTTCCGCGTTACATTTGCCCTTTTCGCTGCTTCCCACGCAAACCGAGGAATTCTAAATGCCGCTTCCCACCCTCCGATGGGACAAGAGGACCTATTGTGAGGGAACAGAGGGACGCTTCATTCGCCGACGGCTCGGAAAAGTCTGATGGAGACGGTTTTGCGGCAGAAATGTGTTGACTGCTCCGAAATAGACCGACGAGCCGCCCCTGGGGGGAGGTCTATGAAGGGCTGGCGGCTCTCAGGGGGGGCTGAGCTGTAATGAGGGATGAGCCAATCTAGATGGAAACCTGAACCGGATGACATGGAGTTTGCTCGGAGCATCAATCGGCTTTTTTATCAAATCCTCCTTTTCACCTTTTTTTATCCTTTGCTATGCATCCCTTCTCCACTTCCTGTCTACATGCACTCCAGCAATAGCTGCAGGGTGGGATCCCTGATGCTGACAACGGCAGACCATCCCTGTGTATTGATACAATCCCCTGTAGAATCCATCGGAAGCCCATGGGACAGGGTGACAATGCTCTACCCATACCCCCAAGTTGTGCTCCTGCGTTGTCACCCCGTATCACAGGATTCCAATAGAGACTAAGGTGTATTAATATGATCATCTGTAGTCTCCATCGGAAGCCCATGGGACAGGGTGACGATGTTCTGCCCCCAAGTTGCACTCCTACGTTGTCACCCCATCCCACAGGATTCCAATGGAGACTAAAGAGTATTAATATGATCATCTGTAGTCTCTATTAGAAGCCCATGGGACAGGGTGACAATGCTCTGCCCCTGCGTTGTCACCCCATCCCACAGGATTCTAGTGGAGACTAAAGTGTATTAATATGATCATCTGTAGTCTCCAACGGAGGCCCATGGGACAGGGTGACAATGCTCTGCCCCTGCCTCCAAGTTGTGCTCCTGTGTTGTCACCCTGTATCACAGGATTCCAATAGAGACTAAAGAGTATTAATATGATCATGTGTAGTCTCCATCGGAAGCCCATGGGACAGGGTGACAATGCTCTGCCCCCAAGTTGTCACCCCGTCCCACAGGATTCCAATGAAGACGACACGACACAGGCATGGTCCACTGTTGTCACCCTATAACAGGAAGTGCCCAAACAAAATCCCTCGTGGCAGGATCACCGGGGGGATTATTTTATTTAAAGCTGCCGATCTAAAGAGATCAAAAACGACTTGTTACAGATGGCGTGAGATTTTACTGATTGGGTTCACATGGTCACCTTTCAGCAAAAGCTTATGGCGACTCCGGCCAACTGGATTAGCTGCAGAACGGGCCGGTCAGAATAGGATTAAAAAGTTGACTGCGACTGGCCTTTGAGGTTATTAGAGACTTCCGACTATAATCATTCCCTTAAAAAGGCACAGTTTATCCGAAACTGATATATATGCTCTGGGTGGATGCTGATAGGCTAAACTGGGGGGTAGCCAAACTCCGGCCCTCCAGCTGTGGTGGAACTACAAATCCCATGAGGCATTGCAAGATTCTCACAGGCATGACTCCTGGAGTGAGATGCATCATGGGATTTGTAGTTTCACCACAGCTGGAGGGCCGGAGTTTGGCTACCCCTGGGCTAAACCATCATCACCGCCACCACCACCCACCCATACAAACCCAGGAGACGGCATCTTGCTCCCACCGCTGTACTAATTTACACACACACACACACACACACACACACACACACATATATAACAACCCAGCAGAGGTCTCCATCATCCAGGCCGGGCAGAGACACAAGAAGCCACCTCACAGCACCCACCCAATGCCCATTAATTAGTTCTGAACGGACCGACCCTCTAAAGTCATGACTTCTGATGCAACATGGGACCTCTCTAGCCAAAATTGAAGGGAGGACAAAGACGGGTTTCCCTTTAAATGCCGTGCAGCCGCTGGTCAGAGAATTTAAAGGCACAGGTTCCATTAGCAGACAATACAACGGCCGAGCTGAACCTTGGAAGGACGCATAAAGTGAACCTGTCAGACCAGATGAAGAGCAGACAATGCGGGGAGGTCTCTGCGGTGACCTTATTGCCCCTTTAAGAAAAAACTGACACCTAGGTTGAGCGTCGCCCACCCAGCTGCCTCTTGCCCATTAGGAGTGCTGACCTTATTCACTGGGCATGTGGGGGGCAGTTGGGAGGGGATTAGCCAATAGGTGAAGCTTCATCAGAGGGGCATTTATAAAAGGAATCAGCTGGCAACCGTTGTCACCTGTTCTGAGGTCTTTAAGATTTAAGCCCTTAAACGACTGACAGGTTCACTTTAAGGAATCCATTACAACCTCCAGGAAGCCATTAAGGTGACCCCGGGACTGAGAGCTGCAAGCATCAAAAGGAGCCATTTTGTACGGCTTCAGAAAAGGCGACTGTGAGCGGTGACAAAGCAGCTCGTCAGTGGCTCGAGGCACTCTGCGTCTCACTCCAATAGTGAAGAGGCTGGAAGGTTCCAAAAAGTCGCCACCTTTCCCATATCTACAAGACAGGTGCCCTTGATGGGCTTTAAAGGCCGCACACAGCATCTGTGACCAGCACAGGGGGTCCGAGACGCTGGCCCTAGTGCGGCTTCTATCCTATGACAACTAACTTTGGTAACTTGTTGAGCCGAAACCATTCTGGAAATGACATTTCCGTGGACATTGGTGGCAAGGAGGTCTGTGATGTACGGTGCAGGAGGTTTTTAGGGGAAGTGGGGTCTTAGATTTGGGGATTAAACATGAATGAACCCGGGGGAGGGGAGTTCCCTCAGAAAAAAAAAGAGTCCTTATTATAGGGCAGCGATGCCGGCTGCTGATAGGAAGCTGAGAGCCAAGACCACTAAACCGGATCGGTCGACTTCAGAGATCTTGAAGCCTTTGCCCGTGTCCCAGGCCTGTGAAGACAAAGAGGAGGCGATGGTTAGAAAGTGAGGGGGAGGGGAAAACAAAATCCACTTTAATCAGATCCTGTCGGGTCTCTGAAAATAAATGAAACACCAATTCCCTGCAGAAGAAGAGGAATGAAACCCATTTCTGATCTCCCCTCCAGTGCTGCAGCCTTCAACACTTCCAGACTTGTCAGATGACTATGTCTCCCGCCGTGTGCTTTGGTTTCATCCTCCTACCCCTAGAGCAATGTAGGGGGATCAGAGGAGAAAAATACAGCACCCAC